CTGGCCCGAATCTGGGTCGGGTCCGGGTCGGGCTTCGGGCCCAGGTTAGAAATGACAGCTCTAGTCAGAAGTGGGCCAAGACCAAAGTGGATTGTTGTTAAATAATTTCAATCTTAAAACTGTATTTTATAAACCTGTACACTACCCTTAATTAAACTTTATATAACCATTCTAGTAAAAATGTTATTAAAAAAATACCTCAGCAGATTTAGCTAGCTGCTGCTATGGTTTGAGCTCGTAAAGAACCATTTAAAACTGTGAAAATACTCATGTAATGCAAAACTGAAGCCACAGTGTGTCAGTTTGTTTACACAATTTGCTATGAAATATCTGAAACTGGAGTTGTTTTAAAATAGCAGCAATCTTCTGCTCTGATTAGCTGTTAGCTCTTCAAGATGTGGTCAGAATAAAACCACTCCAACAAACGGACATTTAAAGAGCTGTCTACAACAGGTAAGATGATACCTACTACCTTTTCTCAAAACCACATCAACATGTCTGACTTATGGTTTTAAAGAACTGAACAGTCAGCCAAAGTCTATTAAATGTGACTGAATATGTGGGCTAAAATATAACAACAGCACACAAAAATTGTGCATCTGGATTTTAAAACCTTACGAAATGGACTTTTGTGTGTATAAGACAACTTTAACCAGATATTAATTGAGCAGATATTTGCTTAGTGAAGCAGATTTAAAAGATTACATCATTTCTCAACATGCTTTGATTCACTGTAGATGTCAAATTTTACCAGCCACTCAAGAGATACGTATGTTACATTTCATGTAGCAGTCGTTTCAGTAAAACCTTGGATATGACATCATTCTGACTAAAGTCAAGCAGAGAGATGAGAACTGGTTCTTCTTTTCCAAACCATCAGAAAACATTTCCTGCACACACATGACCATCCGTTGCAAAAGATTACCAGCAAATGAGTGCGCCTGAACAAAAAATTCCTGTTTGATAAAACACTTGAATGAAAGTAGCTGTGGACTGTACATACAAACGCTACCAAACGAGAGCAATGACATGCTTCTTTTAACTTCTCTTCTCAATAAAGATCATTCATCAGGCAGAACCATCTTCTCTGGAATGTGTGATTGGGAATCGGGAGACTTTAAACCCCCATCCAGGACACTCCATTCATCTTCAACACACCACCAGTCTGGGCACCACTGGTGTGGAGATGAACCGCTGAACCAGGCGCCTCAGTTCTCCTTCTTTATTTTAAAATGATAAATAAAAACAAATGCATGGAACCCCAAAATCAAGCAGGCACATCACAATTTCTCTGAGGCAGTGAGGCATCCCAAACCTGCATCTATTTGTAGTGGTGTGGAGATCCAAACACAAAACGCATTCAGGACATGGAGCATGTGTGTGTCACATGAGTTAAAGGAAGTGATGAGGCGCAGACTAACCTTTAGGAGGCAAAAATCCAACTTTGTGATGGCCTTTTCAGGGGCGACACGCATGGAGAAACCTCTGGGATCAGATGGCATTCACCCCCTGATTCCTTATCAGAGCACCATTTTCTCACTAATATTGGGATGGAGACAGGATTAGAGCTCACCATTATTCTTATGGTATAGAACAGAGGAAAAGATGGATGTAAATGTTACACAGTCTGTATGAGAACCACCACTGCATAATGCTGCCGTCTTCCGCGAGTTCTAAATATGACTGATGGCCATGGCCAGACTCTTGGATTACATTTACATATAGATTTACATCCCATCAACACATAATAGGTCTGAAGACCTCTGTGAGTCGCTAACACCTGCACATTTTCTGACATGGCGATGATCTGGGCCCGACTGAAGAAGCATTTATCAAAAAAAATAAAAAATGGCCTGTGTGGTGAAAACAGTGAAGGAGTCAATCCGATCTTTTGTGTGCAAAAAAGAAATAGCATGCTTTGACAGTGAAGCAGCCCAATTGAGGAATCTGCCATTTTTTAAAAAGAGCGTTAAATAATTAGTGTGCAATATTATATTTTTGGGTTGATCTCTGAGCACAATGAATGTCCACAGAATGTTGACGTTGTATTTGCATAACAGTGAATCTCAAGTAATATTCTCAAAGAGATTTCCTCATTTCTGACTTGTTCGTGTTTTTCTACCCCAGGTCCATTCAATAGTGACAAAAAAGGGCAAGAAGAGAGTCAGGAGTGGGGCGGTGGAACGGACACATCAACGGCGAAAAGGATTTTTGATATTGTTGGAAAATCTTTTAATTGCTCGTACGTCTGTGCAACACCACATCTATTACCATTCACAAACTGAATCACATTAAAAACATAACGTTTTTGTAAACAAAGATTAGAGAAAGTATTGATGTCTCACTTCACAACACCTTCAAATGACACAAAAACAGAAAATTTGAAAATGAGTTCTCGTGATTCACTGAGACCACCTGCATAAATAAAATTTAAACAAAATAAAAAAAACAGCATGTGGGACAACCGTCTCAAAATACATATTCCACATTATATACATTGATATTCTCCTACTCCGCTCCTGTATCCTGGGACACCTTGCAAAAAGATCTGAAGGTCAAGACCTTGACCTCTCTAGGTGGCTTCAAATATCTGCTAAGTTCATACCAACACAGACATGTTTCTGTTTTTAGTATTTTATATCGCTTTATAATGCTGCTGTTTTTGTTTTGTTTTTCATAATTTTCTTTCATTTATTTTTCAATTTCTATTCTTTTTTTAATGATTGTCTACTGTTGTTATCTATCTATCTATCTATCTATCTATCTATCTATCTATCTATCTAT